CAAGACGAGAGCCCGCCTGGTCACCTGTGGTGACTTGTTCTCCAGGCCGCCCAGGTGGGACCCCGGGGAAGGTGGCCCAACTGCGGATGCACAGGAATGACTGTCCCGCGTCTCTCCTCTTGTGCTCCTGGGGCAGGCCTGTGCGGCCTGGGGTCTGCCTCACCTCCCACGACCTACCTACTTCCTTTCTACCTTCTGGCCCAGCCAGCCCTGGCCTCCCCTCCAGACACACCTGGGGACACAAGGTACCAACCTGGCCTCTTGCTCCTTCTTTGCTAGCCTCCTGCCCAGTGCCCCCTCTAGCCATGCCGAAGAGCTGGATCACAAGGCGTTGGGGAGCTACGAGTTGTTCGCTGCATCGGTGGGCCACGCAGACTGGTTGCGGCTCTGCCTCAATCAGAACACTGGGGAAACCCCCACCGACAGCAAGGTAGGGACCAAGCACCCCTGCCCAGGGCCACTTTGGGATGAGCTGATACACATACACGGGGAGGGGGGGCGGGAATGAAGTGAGCGATTCCCAAAGCCCCTAGACTTTATGGGCTCTGCGATGCCAATTCCTGCTCAGCCACGCCCTGCCCTGCTCTGGCCTCCACAGGGCTTCTCGGCCATCCACTGTGCAGCCCAGCAGTGCAAGCTCCAGTGCCTGCAGGTCTTGCTGGAGGAGTACAACTTCCCTGTGAATCAACGCACCCACCTCGGCCAGACGCCCCTGCACCTGCTGATCCGCAGGGACAACGAGACCGTGGTCCTCCCTTGCGTTCAGTATTTGCTCTTGAAAGACGCAGACATCAACGCGTGAGTACAGCCAGACGGGGCAGGTAGGCAGGGACCTCTCTTCGAGGCAGGCAGGACAGGAAGAAGGGCAGGTGGGAGTGACCAGGATTGGGTCCCACAGGGGCCATGTGTCAGGAAGGAGAGGGGCAAGGCCAGGGGACGGCATGGAGGAAGATGCAGAGCCCAGTGAGCAAGGACCAGGCAGTGGTTGGTTTGCAAGTGGCGCAGTATTGGCCTCTCCGAGACGTGCACCGTTCATTTAGTCCGATCCCTCCCCAAGGTGGAGGTGAAGAAATGGAGACACGGAGGAGATGGACTGGGCTCAGAGTCACCCAGGGGGCTGGCTGGAGGTAGAGCACGGCCTGCAAGTGGGTGGCCCACCTATCTGATGCCTTCGGTCTTTTCTTACCGCATGCTAGTCAAACAAAAAGCGGCTGCACCCCGCTGCACCTGGCAGCCCGAGAGGGCCTGCTGGGCTGTGTGAAGGTCCTGGTTGCTCACGGTGCTGACGTCCACGCCCAAGATGTCACCGGCTGCAAACCCATTGACTTGTGCAAAATCTGGAACCACCGCAGCTGTGGCCGGTGAGCTTGTGAGCACCCCCCACGGGCCCCCATCGCTCTCCGCAGCCCGGCCCTCCCGCCAAGATGCTTGCCCTAGGCTAAGCGGTTCAGAGTCTGCGAAGCCAGATGGTCTGTCTTCTTCTATGGGCTGGGGAATAAGTCGGCTAAAGAGGCCCCTGCCCAGGGTGTTAGTCCCAGTGTTTTCCATTAAGGCCTCACCCTTTTGGGCTTAGCATTCACTGCCCTGGGCCCTTGGCTCCTCAGCCGCAGGAAGGGTGGTGATGTGGTCATCTGACACTTTCGCCTCTCACCGAGCCTCAGAGGAACTGCAGTGAGCAGGGGGGTCTGGGCAGTGGGGTGGTCCTCTCGGTCATCCCTCTGACAACCCCCTCCTGCACTCCCCCCCGCTCCCCCAGCCACTCAGCAGCAGGCCCACCGTGAGACTCTGTCACAGTGGGGGTGACACATTCCCCCTGGGCAGCAGGTTCTTGAAGGATGCCATGTGGAAACGGGACAAGAACGACTTGAACCGTGAGATGGGGGTTCTGAAGAGGCTCAAGGGAAGGCTGGCTTGCATGGAGCAGTGGTATCTAACCAAGTACCAAGTAAGGGCTAGGCTGGGCAGGGGGGCTAGGCCGGGCAGAGGGGCTAGGCTGGGCAGGGGGGTCAGGCCTCAGCTGCTACCCAGGCCTGTAAGCAGAGGCGGCAGTGGCCTGCAAAGGGTGGTTCGAAGGACTCTCACCCAGGTGGAGTTTTCCTGCTCTACCTTATTCTCCGGCTCAAGTGCCACCACTCGGCCCAAAATCTTGTCGTGTCTCAGGGAGCAAACTGTATTAGCTTGACCAGGACCGGTTGCAGATGAGATTCTGGCTCCTGGCTACCTCCTAGTGCTGGATGAGGAGAGCCCTGCCTTTACTGGGACAGATATTCTGGTTACAGATCTGAGCTTCCTTCCAACAGACAGTGGGCGCTCACACCTCAACTCCGGGGCTGGGAAGACAAACAGGATGTGGATCCCACACGCAAGGAGCTTGGCATCTAGTAGGGAAGGCAGTGGTCTGACAGGGTGTCCTGGAGGGGTGATGCTTGAGAGGAGTCTTTAAAGATGGATGGCAGTCAGCCTGCCGGGCCAAGCAGCAAGGGAGGGCTGAGCCACAGGGAGGCATCAGGGCACATGGGATCAGCCTGCATGCCAAGAAGCACCAGTCTAGTAGAGCTGGGGGTGTCAGGTGTCCATCGGAGGATGACCAGCTAGAGGTTTGGCAGGGGCTCAGATCAGGCAGGCCCTTGGGGAGTGACTAAAGGATTTTCCAAGCCCAAACCAAACTCACCACCATCCATGCCGACTCATAAGGACTCCCTGTGGGTTTCCGAGATTGGAACTTTTGACGGGAGTAGAAAGCCCCACCAGTCTCCAGAAGAGCTGCTCGGGGTTTTGAACTGCCAACCATGCAGATTGCAGCCCAATGCATTACCACGACACCGTGCTTCTTCTTTTAAGCAGATGTGGTTATATAGGATGCAAGAAATAGAACACCCAGCAAGGTTTTGGGGGAACATAGGCAGAGTCCAGAGGGAGGAGCTCAGGGTGAGTGACATCCAGCACCCCAGCCCTCTTCCAGCTCCATGGCTCGTGTTCCGCCAGCGTCACCTACTCTGCTGTTGCACATTGGTCCTGGGGCACGAAACTCTCCCGGAAGCCCCTTGCAGTCTTATCCATGTGTCTCAGCCCTCGGGCACTTAGAGCGAGCGCTCTGCTGAGAGACTTAGGTCTGAGGCCAGGCTGGATGGGCGATGAGTGGCTTTCACCTGCTTGTTACCTACCCCTGGAGCTGGCCAATCTCCACACTTTAGCCACACAGGCCGGAGAGGGTACAAACACAACAGGTCAGAGACCGCAGACTGGAGGTTCATCTGCAGCGATGGCAAGGCCGGAGTCCTGGCAGCCCAGTCTCCTCTCCGGGACCTCTCAGGAAGGCTCAACCACATCCAAGAAATTGGAACCGATGAACTCCATCAGTTCCCAGTATCCCAAGCCTTTCGGCCTTCCTCCGGGGTCTGGGAAGCACTCTTCTGTGCTTTTCCCGCTCGGACCAAAGACTCTCTTAGGGCAGGACGTGCTCCACCATGCGTGAGGTTCACTGTGGGAGGAATGTGGGGTGCTGGAGGGGTCATCTCACCTAGAGTGGCGGGTGTCTCACCGCTCTCAGAATAAGGAAGTGCTCCCATAGGCAAGTATTTCTCTCTTGGGAGTCCCCTGGCGCATGAACTGTATCTCATCCAACAGACTATAGAGAATTTGGGGAGTAAGGGATAGGGGTGGGGTGGGGGGATAGCCCTCCCCCACTGCCTCGTGCCCCCACCCCATTGTTGCAGAACAAGTGTCAAGTCTTGAATGACGCTGACTTCAAGAACTGGCTCCAACGTAAGATGCTGCCAGCCCAAGAGGCCACGCAGGAGCCTGGTACCTCGGCTCCGTCCACTGCCCTCTTAAAGCTACCCAGGTGTCCTGGGGTGAAGCCGGCCAAGATATATCACCCTTTCCTGGAGTCGCGCCTCAAGCAATCCTCCCTGGTGGGATCAATGTCCGTGCTGTACAGGCCGCCAGTGGCCAGGCAGCCCCGGCCTCGGGTCTGTGTCCCTGCCACCCAGCAGGGCCTGGGAGTACAGCCAGTCCCCACCCGGGAGCATGACTTTTGCAATTTCGTGAGGGTGTGCCGTGATGGGCGCGGAGGGTCGCTGCTGTACACCCTCACCGGCCGCCTGGTGACGGCCCTACCCCAGCTACCTTTCGAAATGGCCGTCCAGGAGCTGCACCCCTCACTGAAACCACACAGGCTCAAGGGGCCCGGGGGCTTCCACCCGCTCACCATGAAGGATGTGCCCCAGAAGCGGCGGCTGGGCACCTTCTGGACAGACACGCTGGCCATGAACCTGCAGGAGACATTTGACGAGACCTTCCTGTCAGCCTTGCGTGCCCACCACGGGCTGCCCATCCTGCCTGCCCCCAAAGCGACCCCATAAAGTTATGCCGGTGGCCTCATGCTCTGAGGCAGCAGTTGCAAGGAGGCTGGGTGTGCTAATTCCCTGCTGAGGATGGGGAAGCAGGGAGAGGGGCCACCTCACTCCCAAAGTCAAGGACAGGAGCCCCACTGCCGACAGGTTATGTCCTAGGCTTGCCTTCTTGCTACCAAGATGCCTCATGGGCCCCCAGCAGCCTGGCTTCGGAAAGGGCCCTAGGGCTGCGAGTGGAGACTGTCACCTTCCAGGGCCCTTGCATCGTGACACCGTCATCCCCACTGTCCCCCTCCTACCCCTGCCCCCCACCTCCCAGGGATCAGCTTCCAGGACAGAGGGACTGCTGGGAAAGTCTGCCCCTTGGCCAGACTAAGCCGTCCCTGCTGCAGGCTCTGAGGCTCGCTCTTCGCCTCTAGGACTGGAATGTGAGGGGGGGAATGGGGCATGGAGGTGTCTGGGGGGGGCTGTGGGAGATACAGCACACCTGGGGGCGGGGAGGGTCTGGGGCTGCCGTTTGAGACTGGAAGCATTAGAGCTCCCGCCAGGACGTGGTCGTGCGTCCCTTATTGTCCCCTGTAGGCATCACTACAACTCAGTCATTTGACAAACATTTATTGAGTGCTTTTCTGTGTGCCAGGCAGCACGCCCGGCACTGTTCATACAAAAACTGATGGACAGCTCTGCCCTCAATGAGCTTACAGTCTAGTGGGAGGCAGACCGGTAAGCAGGCAAGTAAGCCGAGTGACGGGGTGTGGATGGGACGAGGAAGACTCCAAGCTGTTCCCAGGAAGTGAAATCCAAGCTAACTGAGGTACGTGGGGGGAGGGGGAGGTGTTAAAGTGGAGAGGGGTGGGGTGCAGGGGGAGAGAAAGGGGTGCTGGATTCAGGAGGCTGGTGCCCAGAGTGCAACAAGGCGGCGACGAGGCCAGAGAGACCGCAGGGACCCGGACACGGGAGGCTGGCAAACCATGCGAGGGGGTCTGGACTGCATCCCGAGGGCCACCGGGAGCCAGGGAAGCAAGGATGTGACTTTATCACCTGTGTTCTCAAAAGGACTCTGGCTCTGGAGGCTGCCACAATAAACCCGGGTGACAGCTGGTGGCAGGGAGGGCGGCCGGAACCAGAAGTCAGGAAGGTAGGCTTCAGTTTCTAGAAAGTGATGCGAGGCAGAGAGGAAGCCAGGGCGGAAAACTGGTTTCTGGTCTGGCTCCTGAGTGGTCTTCGGATCAGGACGGGGACTCAGAGGGAACGGGTTTTGAGAGAACATCTGGGCCATGAACCTCAGACTGGGCACACACCTCACTCCCACCCCACCCCCGAGGTTCAGACGACTGGGGCTGGAGGCCCACACCCGCTTCCTCGGCAGTCCTGGCCGCCATCAGCGTGGTTGGGCTCCCTGTCTCAAGACAGAACCCTGAGAAGCCCCCTAAGCCTGGGGCCAGTGGAACCGCGGCACAGGTGCAGGGAAGCGGCCAGAGAGGTAGGAGGACAAGAGCCAGCCGAGGGCTGTGCCCCAGAGGCCAGGGCAGTGTGGTCCAAGAAGCAGGGGCGCTCAGACATGTTGTCAGAGAAAACACGGAGGTGGCGCTGACTGTAGTCAGTGGGCCAGAGTGGGCAGAGGGGAGCACAGAGCTGGCCACCGGCTTGCTGGCGAGGATGCACGTGTGAAGGGAAGGCTGGTGTTTTTCAGAGAAGGGGAAATGCAAGTGGCAAGGAACTGAGGGGCTACGGCGGGCCCCGGGGCATGATGCCGAGGAAAGACTTCTAAGCTCACCAGTCTCCCGAGTGGTGGAAAGGTTTCCACGCCTGCCGGCCCGGCTTTGAGGTATGGGCCAAGGCCAGTACAGCTTGCATGGGGCCCTCATTACAGCTTGCATGGGGCCCTCATTCCAGTATGTACGAGGAGTATTTGCAAGGCACTGTAGTTGGAGTGCAAGGTCAACCAATGCTGGTCTGCGCCTGGGGCCTGGCCCACCTTAGGGAGCTGCGGTCACCAGCCTGGAAGCCCAGAGCAAAGAGAGGGCCTGCCCTCGTGTGCTCTCGGTGACAGCGCTGCTCTGCCACCAGCCACACTGCTTCTAAATCGGGCAGTGGCCCAGGCTGCCTGGACCCCACTTGTTAATTTTCAGTTTCTCCTTGAGCCTGAGAGAGAATTCGGCCAGAATCCACTCCTTCTCCCCAGGGAAAACAACTCAGGAGACGGCAGCTGTTCTGAAAATCTAAACCAGGCTTACACTGTCCCCACTCCAACCTCAGGCATAGTGGCCATGGGACCCTGGAGAAAGAAGTGGGGGAAGCGAAGGGAGGGCCACAGAAGAGCTGCCGCCACCCCCCACCCCACCCCTGCCCAGGCGCCGCTCCTCATTCCTGGCCCCTGCCCACCAAGGGCTGTAAGCACAGTCCCTTCGGAAAGGCAAGACGCGCAGACCAAAGAAGTCCCGGGAGCAGCACAGCCTGGCCAGCCTAGGGCAGGCGGTCAGCAGGGAGAAAAGTAGGTGACCTTCTCGATATTAAGGCAAACAGTGCCACCCAGAATCTTTATTCAAAGGGGCGCAGCACTCGCGACAGAAGTCACAGTTCACAGACCAAAGTCTTCCTCTTGGAAGTGCCGCGTGGCGCCGTGGCCCCTCGCGCGGCCATCCACCCAGAGGGCTGGCCACTGTTTGCGCTACGACTTCTCGAACCTGCCTGCTGGTCCCGGCAGAGCCACAACCCTCCGGATGGGGGGGCAGGTCATGGGGCGTTCCGTGCCCACAGAGCCAGGGGGACCTCCGGCGGCCTCCCTGTGCCCTCTGAGGTTACAGCTGCCAGAGCTGAAGTCCTCGGGGGTGGGGTTGGGACGGGGGCTGCAGGGGGAGTCAAGGGGAGGAGGGCCAGGGCTGGGGGGCCGTGTCTTCCAGGCTCATGACCTCAGCCGAGTGCAGAGGCCCAGGAGCCCGACTGGCCCTGATCCCGCCCCCACAGCCCTCCCCACAGGGGTCAGTACATCTTCTGTCGGCTGGGTAGAATGGCCTCTCTGATAAAGGAGAAGATGACCAGAATGCCTAAGCGCTTGCCCCGCTTGCCTTTGGTGAAGTAATTGGAGACCACGTCATCTGCGGAGACACAGGCAGCCAGGTGAGTGGGAACCACAGCCCCGGCCCCTTGGGAGCCCAGGAGCCCCCACCACAGCGCTGGGCTCTGGTCCCTCGGCCAAGCTTGGCACCTGCCCTGCAGCCGCCCACTGCTCACCTCCGGGCTGCATGGTGGAGGGCAGGATGTTCTCCCCGGCCGACAGTGACACAAAGAACGCGAAGGGGATTATCCACAGGCAGAAGGTGAAATAGGCCAGGACCTGCCGCGAGAGGGACTGAGGAGAGAGCGTCCTGGATGGGCCCAGGGGGCCTGGTCAGTGCCACGCCTCAGAGAGGTGGTCAAGGGAGCATGCACTCCCCCACCTCTGACCTGGTCTGTAATAGGGACCAGGGCCCGGCAGGCAGGGGCAGGACACCCTCAGACACGGAGAGAAAATTGGGGGGAGGCGGGGAGGTGGACGCTGAAGATGACCGAGTCCAGTGGCCTGACCGCCAGCCTCGGATCTAGGTCAGGAGCACAAGCAGCGCCTCTGGCCTGGAGGGGGAAGCCCTGCCTGCACCACACCCCCCCAGGCAGGGACCTAGCTTCAAACGGGCGCAGGCGGGTGTGGAGACATCCTGAGAGGACCGGACCCTGGCAGGTCACTGGCAGGGGCTCGGGCTCAGGGCTGCAGGCCACTCCCAGCCTGTGAGGCCACCCAACGCCCCTTCCTGACCTCAGGATGAAAGGCTGAACTCCAGGCAGGCGGGCCCAAAGGACTCCCTGGAGGGGTGGCCCTCGGCCCATGCCTCCTCCACACTTCGTCTTACCTCTGAGAAGGGATAATATTCCTCCGCGAAAAACTGAAATGCGAGGTAATGGTTCACCACCACCAACCCTGTGGAGGGAATGCAGAGTGGGTCCGGCTGGGGCTGGCAGGGCTCAACAGCCAACCTTCCAAAGGCCCCTGCGAAGGAGGTGCCCTAACGCGGTCCAGACTTTATCCCCAACTCTGAGAACTTCCTAGAACCCAGTTTCCCATCTGTCCGGCCTGGCCCTGCAGAGGGCACTGCAGAGTCAACGACAAGGAGGATGGAACGCTCTGGTTGTGAGCAGGAGGATCTGCGGTCCCGAGCACTCAAAGCGCTGCAGGATGGGCCTGGTTTCAGGGGCGCCTCCTGGAGGGAGAACCTGGGCGGAGGTGCAAGGAAGGGGGCGTGCAGGTTCGATGTCCCCAGGAGATCCCCATGCAGAGTGGCCAGCAGGGGAGGGCCTCCGAGGATCGCGCGACCCTCGCTGCTCAGCAATAAACAGGCAGTGTGCTGGCTGCTGTGGCACAGTCTGGGGTTCCTCAACACTGAGGCGGTGTCCCTCCCCACCCTGGGCCGATTTGAACTGGTCTGTCTGGACCCCCGCTGCTGGTTCGAGAGCAGCAGGATCCAAGAGGCAGGCTGTGGGACAAACTGGTCAGAGGTGGCCTGTCCCCATGCGGGACCCCAAAACCTCTCACACCCCTCTAGGGACCACCACGTTTCCTTCTCCCTGTTAGGGGAAAACCACACCTCTGACATGCCACTAGAAGAGAGGAGGGTGCCGGGTGCCCACAACGCCTTGTAGGGAAACTCTCTAAGCTCTCTGAAGGAGGGCAGACAAGGGGTCACAAAAGCCAAGGGAGCTTGCTGGGGGGCAGGTGGTAAAGGGCTCACCCCACAAACCCCCCATGGAACAAATCCTGGGGTGAATGTAGGGCCAGGGCGTTTGGAGAGGACACCACCCTCCGGTCAGTGAGGTTTCCTTTCCAGGCTCTCACAGGAGCCAAGCAGCTCTAACAAAACCCCACGTCCATCTGACACCCTGACCAATGGGGAAGGAGCGGCGATCCTCCAGAGGGAGAGAAGTGACTCCCCAGGCTCAGAAGTGGCAGTGAGGAGGCAAGAGAGCCAGGTGGTCATCCCCAGGCAGCTGCAGCCACAGAGCATAAGCATAAAAGGGGGTCACCACGAACACCCACCCCAGGTTGACCGGCAGCTAGAAAGCAAAGCTGTCCCAGACCCATGCCTGAAGGTGGCTCACAGCCTCCCCGGGGCTCCAGCACTGGATCAGGTGGCTGGATAGGCAGTACCCGCCGGCCAGGGAAGGGCTAGCAGCAGCCTGAGGACTTGCCTCAGCCAATCCACGATCTCTTCTCCATTCCCCAAAGACTCTTCAAGCTCATGTCCTGGGAAAGCTCCCCCTGCCCGTGGCTCAGCACGAACCCACAAAAGCTCATCGCTAGGGCCATGAAGACCCCATCTTCCCAGTTGGCCTGGCCTCCTGGAGGTCTTCGGTGGGTTACCTCCTTTCTCTGTATCCACCTCAGTGCCCATGAGGGGGCGGGGGTGGCGAACATCCCAGCCCCTTACCACCACCACCCCTGCCCCCCCCAGTGCCCTCACCACAGGACAAGATGAAGTTAGGCGAGGTCAGCATGATGAAGGGGAAGGTCTGGAGGAGGCCGAAGTAGACCAGGTTGGTGAAGAGGCCCACGCCGATCATGTAGGTAGGGAAGTGCTCAAAGACGTACAGGCCAATCAGCACCGCGGTGGAGAACTGAAACAACCAGAGGGGCACAGCTCAGGGGTCCCCTTCCAGGCAGCCTTCCTGGACTCACCAAGGCCCTGGCTCACCCTGGGCAGCACTAGTTTGTCTTGCTTTGCAGTCACCAGTCTGGCTGCCCCAACTAGGTTCGTAGCGCTCTATGGGCAACATCGTTTAATTCCAACTCTCAAAGCTTATTTCAAAGCAAGCCACAAGAAGCAAAACATTTTATTTACACTGTGATCTCAACACACACACACACACACACACACACACACACACACACACAGAGCTCAAATGTCAATTCTCGTCTTTTCTATTCTGTTTTAAAAACCGTGTTGATCGTGACTTTTGAAGTGATTATACAAATCAATTAGGCATTCCTGTAGTCTGAAAAGGTTGTTTCAAAGGATGTACAGTTGCCAGGGATAAAGAATGTGCCAGTTGGTGAATGAAGTTCTAGCTCCTGTACCCACACCAGCCAGCCAGGCTTCTGAACCCACAGGTGAGTGCTGCGGTCTTGCCTCCACCACTAGCTCCCAACCCCTCGCATGTCCAGAGTGTCAGCGTGAGGGGCCGTGGTTCCCCCCTACCCCAGCCCTCTCCTCCCACCCCTCCCCAAGCTTTGCCTCCCGGCTGATGGGCATCTGCCCACCAGCCCCGACTCGTGTGGCTTTCAGAGCAATGGCAATGACTGTGTCTTCAGCAAGAGCAGCCTCCCAAGAGACCCGTGGAGGGCAGGCCCAGGCTTCGGAAGATGCTTTCCCCTAAAAAGAGGGCAAATGGGTTGGGCTCCAAACTGCTTTTAAGGTTCTTCTCAGTTGTCAATGCTGCGAGCAAAGCCAGGGGCTATAGACAGCGAAAGCCAGCCCCACAAGACAGATCCACAGTCCTGTCCACAGAGAATGTACGCCTAGCAGCGACCTTAACAAGGCCTGCGGTCAGGCAGTGCCCCTTGGGAAAGGAGCCAGGGAAGATCTGGTCACCAGGGCAGATGGAGCCACAAGATAAGGCACTAGCCCAGCGGTTCTCAACCTTCCTCATGCCACGACCCTCGAATACAGCTCCTCATGTTGTGGTGACCCCCCCGCCCCAACCATAAAATTATTTTTGTTGCGACTTCATAACTGTCATTTTGTTACCCCCAAAGGGGTCGCGACCCACAGATTGAGAACCACTGCTCTAGCCAGAGGGAGAGGTGGTAGGAACCCTTAGGAAACAGCAGGGGCAGAGGAGCGCACATCCTTGTCAAACTTTCCCTACTGCCTTCCCTCCACCCCCCACCCCGCAGGGCAGAAAAGGGGGGGGTGGTGCTGTCACTTACCCAGATCATGTATTTTATGATCCTGCTGGTGGCCACTGTGTATTCTTCAATCAGTTCTGCCAGGTAGTAGAGTCCAGCGGCTGGGAGAAGGGGCAAGTGGGAGATTAGCCAGCAGCATCCACACCCAACCACCCCCCAATTCCGGCTCATCCTCCGCTAGGTCTGCCAGTCCATCAGGGGCTGGAGAGGAGAAGGAATGGACCAGGCGTTGCTTTTCCAAGTGTGGAGAAATCAAACTTTTCATCCAGGCAGCTAAGGAGAGCTTCCACCAAAGTGGATGAGAGAAGCCTGCCTTTGATGCCCCAACGCACCGCTAACCTCTGGCCCAGAGAGCAGAGTTTCATTCACTCCATAATTATCTGTTGGGCGTTTACTATGGGCCAAGCCTCAGGCGGAATAGTGGATTAGGCCGAATGGGTCAACAGAGGTCTCCTCCGGTCCTCTAACTGGGGTCGGGGCTGGAGAGGGAAGCAGTGTGCAGGATGGGGGAAGTCAAACGATGCCAATGTGAGACCCTACTAGTTTAGGAGAAGTATAGGGCACTTCTGGAATATAGCAAACTGCCTAAAGAGAGCTTCCAGGAGGAGGTGAGATTTCGGTTGAGATCCGGAGTTAGGGAATTTGCAGGAGGTTAGCGTGTCAGAGGCAACGAGTCCAAGCAGAAAGCGCTGGAGGCTAAGGGGCTCGGGAGGGGAAGTTGGGCGCGGAGGTCGCAGGGTGGGACCAGCGACTGGCGGCGCTGGAGTCCGGCCTCTCTCGGGCACTACGCCTGGAAGGATAGGCCGTGCTGCTGGGGGCCGAAAAAAAGCAGGACCAGGCGGGACAGGCGGGGGGCCGACCACGGCCGGAGCTCAATGCAGGGGTCGCCCTGGCAACATCGCCAAGCGACCCCTGGGCAAGCCCAGGAGCCCGCCCGGGCCGGGGTCGCGCACGCTCACCGACGGCCAGCGTGATGAAGGCCACCTGGATGAAGAGCGACAGCCAGCTCAGCACGTACATGAACCACATGGCGCCTCCGCCCCCCAGCGCCCGGGCCGCCCGGACGGGCCTGCGCGCTCCGGCTCCGGC